TTTAAATTTTCTGTCTAACTTACTTATTATTTTCCTTGTTGTCTACTCTTTTGGTGTCATACTCAAGAAAGTGTTGCCAAATCCAATGTCATGAAGCTTTCCCTCTCTGTTTTCTTTCAAGAGCTTTATAGTTTTAGCCTTTGGTTCATTTTGAGTTAATATTTGCACATGTCATAAAGTAAAGGTCCAAATTAAATTTTTTGCATGTAAGGTATTTATATTTATCACTCTCATTTGACAGATAAAGAAACTGAGACAGAAGTGATTTCCCCAAATTCACACAACTAGTAAACAATGAACCCAGGATTCGAACCTAGACAACCTGAACTTTTTTAGGAGCATAACTTTCGCTGTTTTCAATTCTAGTTGGTGTCTATGCTTTTGTGATGTATTGCTGGTCAAATCTTTGATGCTAAATAACCTGGTCCAAATCAAGCCCTGTTATAACACTGCAACTATGGGAAAATTCAGTCCACTTCATGTTTCTCTTCTTGATGGACTATTATCTGGGGAGAGATGACCACCAAAGATATATGGGAGAGATAGCATCATTTACACAGAATTTAAGAAATTAAACCTTCAGAGAAAGGGACTAGCTGAGAGTAATAGTGTTTATACAAGGCTGATTAAAGTCAGGCTGGGGTTGGACAAGAATTTCCAGGCACAGATGCAAGTGGCTACACATCTCTCCCCTCCCACCCTACCCCCACCTTCACTCCAGCTACACTCACCTGGCAGCCCCAAGGCTGACTCTCTTCACACCTGCACAGGTGCAACAACAATGGACAGTCATCCTCTGTTGTAAGTGTTGGCCTTTGCCAGAGCATACTGACTTGAGCAAGTCCAATTGAGCAGCAGGAGACACCAGCAGCACTCCTCTGGAGAGGAGAACTTTGGACTGGAGCAGGCAGATCAAGGCATGGGGAGTCAGCAATAGACTCTGGGAGTCTTCCCATTCAATTGAGCTCATATGTGGTGAGTAGTTATTAGCTAGTCAGTGCCTAGAACAGTGCCTGACACATAGTAAATGCTCAACAAGGAGTTGTTTTGTGAACACACTGGTTTCCAGGGAGTGGCAGGTGGAGGACATAAACTTCATCTACCAGGGGTGCTGGCCCAGGAGGCAGATTTGTGCATTGGTGATGCTTGATACAAGGCAACCTATGAAAGAAGCTAGGCTTCAATTTATTAATATACTGTCAAAATATAAAGAAGATAAAGAATGTGATTGCTTCTTAGTGGGAAAATCTAGAGTGACATCCTGAAGGAGGTAGAATTTGAGCTGAGTCTTATGGTAAAAATGAGTGGAGAGGGATCTCAGTACAGGTGAGTAAAGGCCTAGAGGGGAGTGCGAGCAGTCAAGGTAATTAGACAGGTGTGGCTCTGAACCGAAAATGTACCTGGAGAAGTAGGTAGAGTAGAATTTTAGAGGGTTTTGCCTGCAAGCCCTGAGGTTTCTGGGCATCTCTTTTCACTCCTCTGTCAACTCCTGTACACAAAAACTGGACCATCCTCTGTGGTGAGATGGCAGCTGGCTGTCCAGTGTCTGTGCCTTCCTAGAGACCCTGGCACCCTGCCACCTCATATCTGCCGGCGGGAACATTGCCTGCACCAGTTCCTTCCATTCTCTGCTGCCAGAGGTGGAGCTGGATGAACATGACAGCAAGTGTGGGGATGGGGTCAGGTGTCCCTCTGCTTATGAAGGTCTGGCGGGCACTGGAAGACTACTGGCAGGAGCAAGTCCCTCATTAAAGGCAGCACTCGTGGTGGCGTATGGAAAATAAGCTATTCTGGGTACATTAATTACTCATTTCAGAAGAAACCAGAAGCTGGGGGGTGATGGGCAAAGCCAAGGCAGGCCTGAGCAGCCTGAAACCATCCACAACGGGCCTGCTGCTGTCATTTATTCCCTGTTCCAGAAACTCCCTTCCCGGCTCCCTTCTGTTTCTTTTCATTTTAGAGTAACTTTCAGGTGGGAGGTTAGAGGATGATATTAGGGAAGGAATGGAAAAATGTGGAGAGGGTGGGTGGATGCAATAAAATAAATCAATTTTAGTGTGTTTTCCATTTATAAATATAATCTAAACATATTACTCAAATTTTGATTTTATTAAAAGAGAAGAAAAAGCTATCTGCAATCCTATATCCAACATCCTAATACAACTCTTATTAGAATTTTAAAGTATTTTCTTCCAGTCTTTCCACCATGATTGTACATACTTAAGATAAACTTTTATGAGATTGTAATTGTTCTCTTTTGCAACTTCCTTCTTCCACTTATATTATTCTCTATGTTGGAGATGAGTACATAGATTGAACCCTGACTAGTCTCCTTGGGAGCCCTAAGGAGGCCTCAAGACTCCTTCAAAACATCCATTTATTCAGTGAGATGTAAAATTTAGTAACCAACTTCATAGGCATGATTTGAGAAACTACTAAGAGAAATCTGAAAACTAGAAAAATGTTAAAGAGTCTGCACATTCTAGTCCCTGGAATCTATGACTATGTTAGGTTAAATGGCAAAGAGAGATTGATTGCAGACAGAATTAAGGTTATTAGTCAGATGACCTACAAATAGGGAGATCATCCTGGATTTTCTAGACAGGTCCAATATACCCACAAAGATCCTTACAAGTGGAAGAAAGAATCAAAAGAGAGAAACAGAAAAGAGGGCAGCACGAAGACTCAGTCCAATGCTTCAGGCTTTGGAAATAGAGGAAGGCTGTCACCAGCAAAGGAAAGCAGGTGGCCTCTAGAAACTAGAAAAAAGCAAAGGAATATGTTCTCCCTAGAGAATATGTTCTTTCTGCCAGAAAGAACACAGCCTTGCCAACACCTTGATTTTAGCCCAGTGAGACACTTTCAAACTTCTGACCTCCAGAAATGTAGGGTAAATTTGTATTGCTTGAAACAACTGAGTATGTGGTTATTTGTTCCAGGAGCAGTAGGAAACTAATACAGAGGCCAACATCAGCCTTCAAACTCCAAGCAAAAGTGTTTTTAACTACCCCCAAATCCCAAGGCAAAGAACTCCCTGACTCTTCTTAGCAAACTCTTCCGCCACAGAGGCAGCAGCTCAGTAAAGCTCCAGAACCAAGCTGGTGCTCAGAAACACTCATTAGTGAAAAAACAAGGGCCTGTTGTCCATATCATGCCATCCACACAGAGGCCACAGCATCTCAGAGAAGTCTTGTTGCTTTTAGAGAGAAGTCATTTGAAGCAAAGGTTTGCAGAGGAAAATGAAGCTCTGATTCACCCACAAAAGGCCTTGCGTCTAATGGCACCGTATTCCAGAATCTGACACAGTGCCTGGAGGGGCACTGTGCTGGAGGGACTCCACCATTCACTGCGTTAATCAAATACAATAACAGAATGAACATTTTGCTTCCACTGCCCTGCTACAAGTCTTTCTTTCTTGTCCTTTCAAGATCATGTGGTACTGAATTTTCCAGACTATTTTTGCACTTGAAGCCCTACCACATAATCTATCTAGACATCAAGGACCAGTTGATCCTCTGTGCTTGGAGTCTAAGCATACACTTAATTTGAAAATTGCAGGAAAGTTAGAGCCAATTCAATGATAAACCAAGCTTCTTTTACCTGTTACTCTTGTTATTAATCTGTCTTATTTGTCCCTTTTCTCCCGTGCCTGACATAATCTATAATGCTTAGTCTATGGTAGGTTTTTGATGAATGAATTAATGAATGAATGAATATCCTGAATTCCTGTTTGTCTCTCCCCAGCAGAGGTATTCCTTCATTGATAGATTTTGGTTTCCTAGCTTTCTCTTTACCTGAAGAAGAATCTCTGGTGGTCTTGAATCCTTAGCCACCACTGTGGGCTGCCCTTCCATGGCATTTCCACCTCCTGGTTACATCAGAATGGGAAAAATCCACAGCTCTGTCCAGCAGAGCAAGGGCCCAAACCCTGAGGTCTTCCTCTCCCCCATTTCCTTCATATTTTTCTCTTTTTTAATCATAAACCTTCCTTGGTAAATTATATGGTGATTACTGTTGGGTGGAAGGAAGTTGACTAGAAAGTGCTATGAGGGAACTTTCTGGGTTTGTTTTGTGTGGTGGTTGCAAAGGTGTATACAACTGTCAATTTTTACTAAACTGAATATTTAAGCTGTAGGCATGTTACTATGTATAAATTATGCCTTGGTTTTTAAAAAACTTTGAAAAGGAATTCTGAGATCACAATCAGTTCATCAGTCAAGAATGCCGTGACTGAAGGATGATATCAGCTGTGAGCAAGGGGGAGGGGCAGAGATGTCAGCACTAACACCCATGTTTGCTATTCCAGTGCTCAACTGATCGTCCTTAGAGTTTCAGCATCATTTAAGTGATTATACTTTTAATTTGTCCACCTTAAAGAATTACAGTGAGGTGAAAGTTCTTTGTATAATATAAATCCCTAGCTAAGTGTAAGATGTTATTATTCACATTGACTCCCCATGATGTCTCGCACAATGGGACTAACTTTGGCAGGTAGCCTCCCAGAAAAATCTCCCTTGCTGAAATGAAATGCAGCAGAGCCAGATATTTTCAAAATGCCAGGCCCTGCATGAGTATAGACAGAGCTTGTCAGTCCCATTATTCATATAAAAGCAGTGAGTGCTGATGCTAACTGCCAAGCTGGCTTTGCCATTGCTGTCCAGGCCACTTTTTAAGGTACTAAAATGCTTTCCACTGGCTGAACTAAGTAATGTGTTTTCCTTTGTGGTTCTTTATCCTTTTCTGAGGCTCTATCTCAAGACGGGGTCTGGTATTTTTCATTTCTCCTTCTCCTTCCAACTGCAAATCTTCAGAGACCTTTCAGAGCTTTGCTCTGTGGGCTCGGTTTATGTCTGTTAGCTGAGGCATCTGTTTCTGGTGCCTTCCGGCACCTTCTGGGAGTCTCCCGGATTACTGATGAGGATTGTGCTAACCAGCCTATCTGTCACTGGGAGACTCAGGAGCTCAGCATCCATGCTATCTCCTGACTGGTGTCCCCACAGAGGGAACAGGACAGAGGCTGGCAACCATACCTCCACTTCCGAAGTCAACCAGAGAGCCAGGCCCAACGGCAGATCCAGCCTGGGTATTCAGCCAAGAGATACCTCCGAGGCCTCTTGCGGACATGGCCCCCTGACACCATACACAGGCTCCATTGTGCAGGTCAGTGGGGAAACGGGAGGAGGTACATCCAAGCCACCCTGCCTTGCATTCTGGTGTGAGAGTGTGTCCCATCAAGCCTGAAAGACCAGAATTTCAGTCCCAGCTTTGTGTTAAAGCAAAGGTGGTTAAGCCAGGTAGCCTCTAAGCCTCTATCATAACTTTCGCCCTTTATCTCCCCACATTTATGAAGGAAGGAAAGGCCTGAGGTCTTGCCTTCACTTTTGTGCCTCCCTGTGGCTTCACACTCCACAACCCTAACCACAACTTTTTTCTCAAACTTCCCTCCTCAGAGACTTCAGATTATCCTGTTTAGATGAGGAAAAGGATGCCCAGAGGAACCAAGTAGGGCGTCCAAGATCATCCAGTCGAAAGCAGAGCTGGAACCAGAAGTCAGATCCTCCCCACATTCCCTGCTCCTCATTCTTCCTTTTTTAAAGATTTTTTTTTATTTATTTATGCATATAAGAGCTGGGGTGCAGGCCAGAGGTGCAAGGGGTGAGAGGATTCACCAGACAGAGTGGGGAGCAGAACAGGCAGATCTGCTGAGATACACTGCTGAGGGGAGCAGCGGGCAAGACAGGAGAGGTCTGCTGTGCCGTGTGGGTCAGCTCCTTGGCCAGCCAGGTATCAAACTTGTGCTGCAGTGGCTGTGGATAGCTTCATATTGCTGAGACTTAACCCCTTGTGCCACCAGGGAGGCCCCCCTGCTCCTCATTCTTCCCAGAATTCCTCCATCTGAGTAATCTCAGGTCCTCCAGGGAGTGGGACTCTTAAAGAGGGCAGCTCTCCAGCACAATCCACTTAGGAGAGAGATGGACATGTTCCTGCTGAACAGGGACCCCACGTGCACACAAAACCTCATCTCCATGGCCTCCATAAAGGCTTTAAAGTGAAAACAGGAAGTGGGGATTAAAGTTGCCAGAGTTAACACACACACATGCACACACATGCACATGCTTACACTCACACGTGCACATACACACAGTTAAACTGGTGATATTTGAGATATATTTCTTTTTTAAAAGGTGTTCATTGTTTATCTGAAATTCAATTTTAACTTGACATCCTGTATTTTATTTGGCAAACCTGTTGGGAATGAGGTGGTGAGCAGTAGGATCTGCCAATGCCCTCTGGGCTCTTTGCCATTTCTTCAGCACCAACAAATAGACAGGACCAGAGGAAGACTGGCTTTCTTCTTGCTTTATAGGTTTACCTTGGGAAAGGAAAGAAAAAAAACAACTCTCTCCCCAGCAAGTGATGACTTGAAGGAAAGTGAGAAACGAGGGCCTGTCCAGTAATGATTTTACTTCAGTGGCAGACTGACCGTTAGAGGCAGTTCTGTTTAACACTTGTAAGAAAGAGTCTTTTAGCCAAAAATATATGTGTCCTTGGGTGGGACAGAGGGCAGAAAAGACCACTGCCCCATAGCCTAGGTCCAATGTCTTCAAGGATGAGCGCCTCTCTTACTGTCAAGAAATAGTTCAGACCCTACTATGGGAGTCATATGGCAACAATGTGTGGCTTAAGAAATGGTACTTGTGTGTACATTCTTGGACCCCTTGCCAGAATTCCTTACCGAAGCCCCCTTGAGGGTGAGACCCTCAAGTTGTAAGACTCTGGTATGAGATCACCAGCCCAACGAAGGCAGTTCCTGCCCTTTACGTCTCAGCTCTCACCACCTTTGTGATAACAGCATGTTCTCTGCTCCTATCTTTCTGCTTCTGTGATGAATTCTCCCACATACACCTTTGAGGACCACATTTTTGGACAAAGGTTCTTCTGACAATTCTAGTCAATGTTGAGCTCCTCGCCTTCTGATTTTATCTCATACTAATGCTTGGGACCTTGTAGGTAAACCCAGGAGAGTCTTGTCTCTCCAACAGACTGGAAACATGTCTTGCAAAAGGGCTAGTACCTATTTCTTCTGTATCTCCTCCACAGCCTAGGAGAGGATTGGGTCACTGGTAAACCCTCAATAAGCACTTATGGAATAACTGGATTGAGAATCATGGGGCTGACAGAAGTAAAGTACTTCCAGGTGATTCTCTTCCTGAGGCAGGAGGAGCCTTTTACCTAATCCCAAACTAGCAGCCATGTTTTTTGCACAAGGGAGCCTGAGTCTCAGGAATAGCAGAGTGGAAGCAGCACAGATGGGGCACAGACCACACTGGATAGAGAACCAATGTGGGTTCTATTTGATTTCTTAATCCCTCTCATCTTCTAATTATCTTCCTTAATGGACAATGTCTAAAGTCAAGACCAGGGCAAGTGGGGATCCTTGTATTTATCTCTGAGACCTCTAGAATGGCAATCACTTTTTCTTTCAATAACTCCTGCCCTGCTCTTCAGGATACATCAAGGATTCTGTGCTGCTCCAGGACAGTCAACTTAATGTACCAAAGCACCTCAGGCCACAACAGGACCTTTCAGGTGTACCCCTCAAATACCATCTCCTGCCTGTCTTCCCTCCATTTTGGATTCAACAAGGAAAACCTTTTGAACAAGGTACATCTTGATTTTATGACCAGTTCTCAAGTATATGGGTTTTTAACACTTTAAAATGGAGTTTTCCAAAATAAGGTCTAGGAATTCTGGGTTTGATTCTCCTCCTCTGCAAAATGCGGGGATTACTTAGTCTAGACCAACATTGTCGCAGAGTACTGTCTGCAAAGACAGAAGTTTCTACAATATGTGGTGTCCAATATAGTAGCCATTAGCCACATGTGTACTGAGCACCTGAGATGTAGATAGTGGCACTATAAAACTGAGTATTTCAATTTTATTTGTTACATATAAACAGCCACATGTGGTTAGTGACTAATGTATTGGGCCATGCAGGTGCAATTACTTAGGTCTGTTCTGTTCTAACATTCTTCAATCCTGTGACTTTGTGGCAATATCCTACAGAAAAAAATAAAAGCTTTCTAGTCAGAAGTCTGGACTGTGATGGTTGTTCTTTCTTTTGCTAGATGTAAGATCTTGAGCAAGTCACTTTGTCTCTTTGAGCTTCTGTTTGCTCATCTCTGTAATGAACATGCTAAGAACTGCCTCCCTGTTGCACAGAACATTATTGTGAACTGTCTGTAAGCTGTTCAGTACTGTGGGGATTCTATTTGTCAGTGTTATTCTTGGGAACATGAGGTGTTAAGAGTCAGAAGTTACCTTTGTTACAAGGGATGGGAAATGTTGACATGGTTGCATAATAGGCAAAGAATAGGGCCTTGGTTAGTACAAGGATATTTGAGATACGAGAAGAAAAGAATAGACACCTAACATAATACAAAGTTAATTTTTCCATAATAAAAAGGTAATTTTCCCAATGGTAGTGCCTCGCCAAACCAGATCCTCAAAAAAGGATCTGGTCAGAATAGGTAGAGAATCTGGTTTATAAAACAAGTGAAGAAGTGATGGTTTCTCAGAGCCTGGTGCCACTGAACTTTCTTGTCAGGAACCTCCCTTGAGTCTTGACTCCAACACCAGGAAATTTTGGTCATAACCTTGTCCACATGTAGTTTCATCTACAGGAAATTGCTGGTTAGGCAATTGTATTTATGTTGTAAATTAACCCCTGGTCTATACATCAGCATCAATGCATTTTGCTGGTATGGTCAACATCCCTGAGGCCATTTGATTCTGGAGCACTGAAGAGATCAAGTTTCTGGACCACCCATGTCCTAGGAGTGGGGGACTCACTACATAATGCTCCTGACTTGGGACCAGCTGCCCTTCCCCAGCTGGTCATTGTTAATGCCCTATCTCTTTTAAAATCCTACTGTCCCAGTAGGATTGGAGAGCTTACTGTCCAGTATTTTTTTTATTTCATTTATTTATTTTTACATAAAAGAATTAGGATGAAGGCCAGAGGAGCAGGGGGTAAGAGGGAACACCAGAGACAGAGTGGGGAACAGAACAGGGGGATCTACTGAAATACACTGCTAAGGGGAGCAGCAGGCGAGACAGGAGACGTCTGCTGCGCCATATGTGGGTTAGCTCCTTAGCCGGGAATCAAACTCAGGCCATAGACGTGATAGCACTGAGACTTAACACCTACGCCATCAGGGAAGCCCATGTCCAGTATTTTTTGGGTGGACCAACACTGAATATTTACAGGATCAAGTGGTTTCCATAGTTGATATCACATAGCCCGGAGCTATCACATCAGGCAGACAATAGAGGTAATATAGAACAGTAATTAAACATGTGCCAGATCCCAGACCACACAACCTCTCTGAGCTCCCATTTCCTTATTTATAAAATGGGCATGACCATACCTGCCTTTACCTCAGAGGTTCATATGTGGGTATTGAATGGAATAATGCAGTATCTGGCACATAGTAAGTGCTCAATAAATGTTTGTTATAGGCCTCCCTGGCTTGTGTTTTCAAAAACAGAATTACTAATTGCAATGCCCAATTGCCATGATCATAGGGACTGAAAATCAATTTGTAAAAAAGTAAAAACAGTTCAGAGGTTGTAACTTGAACCCTGATTGTTTGAACTTTATCTTCCTTTGGTCTCCCCTCTTTGCCAGACACTTTATTTGGAGAGCTCCAAAAGTTCTGGCTGTTATTTCCATCTCCCCCAATAATGTGATGTTGATCAAGTCTTTTATGCTCCCTACATCTCAATTTGTTCATCTGTAAAATTGGGGTAGTGGTATTTGCCTTCCAACTTCTTTGGATTGTTGTGGAAAATCACACAGGAGAGGTCAGAGATTAAAAGGGGGGAAAGTCTGTAAGAGCTCTAAATTGCTACCCCAATGCCCATTGTTTGGTTGAGATACACGGAGACCACCTCATTGTCCCACTATACATACTCTTACGGACTCCACAGAGACCGAGTTTTGTGGTCTCCTTTTAACACCTGTAAACTTGCTTGAAAACCTGTTTCTATTAAGCTTAAACATATGAGCCAGAGATGATGTTTGCTGAGAAAAATCTTGGTTCCCCTCACAGAGAATTAGTCATATATTCATTATTGCCTGGGACGCAGCCAAAGGAAAAATGCCTCTCTGTACCCCCCCACCCACAATGCCATACCCCAGCTGAGGCAGCTGCCATGTAAGACTATTCAGCGGGCGAGCAGACATTGGCCAAAGTTTCACTTCCTCTGCCCTCAGAAAAGCATCTGTTCCCAGGTGAATCTTACCAAGAAAAATAGACCCGAAGTCTGACTTTCTAAAGGAACATTCTAGAATACACAAAAAGGTCTTTACTGCCATACCCTGTGTGGATCGGGGGTCTTCTTTGGTGTAGGCCTAATGTGACTCTAGGCCTCCTCAGGCTGAGGGGTCCTCAGGTTCATCAGGCTTCCTGTACCAGTAAAACCTGAGCAGACCCCTCCTAACGTGAACATGAGCTGCATCTGTGCTTCCAACACTCCAGTATCAGCCCAGCCCCAGAGGGGCCTTCAGGAGTCAATGAGCAGAGGAAGGAGGGCCAAAGGGAAGAAGTAGCCCCACGAGTGGGTATGTGACTCTTGACTCCAGGACACTAAAGATGGAAATGCTGTAGGGAAAAGAGGGTTAAAAAGTATAGTGGGAAGATGAGGCTGGCTGGGGGAAGGAACTTCAGGGGTCCAGGGTTCCATCATATACAAGGCCCCTGAGGCTTCCAGAGCCCCTGGTTGAAAGACAACCCCACATTGTTCCACAGAGCTGCACGCTGAGTGTGGAGGTGTTGCTAAAGCTAGGGAGGGTTTGCCAGACTGTTTCAGCAATAAATCCACCTTGAGTAAGTGATGAAAATAGCTGCAGGACCCTTTAAACCATCGATGAAAGATTTGTTAACTATGCTGGAGTCATCTGTTGACTCAGAGCCTTCTTGGGGGTTGCACAGACAAGGTAAGTTCAGAGAGCTAAAAAGCAGGGCCTTCAGCAGAGGTTTTTCCGTAAGTAAACAAGGAGCAGACAGACCAGGAAATCCAAGCGCTTCAGACTGAGCATCTCAATGACCGTAGAGGCTGCTGTGACGACACTTCTGTCACTGGCCTCTCACTGGCCAAAGGGCTGTTGCATTCATTCTTATTTGAGCTCCCGACAACTCTGCAAGGAGGCAAGGGTAAGAAATAAGCTGAAGAAACTGAGTCCAAGAAATGAAATCTCAGCCCTGAATCTCCTGATTCCCAGTACAGCTATTTTCCACCAAACTGGCTACCACTTCCATGCAGACACTAGCAGAAATAAGGAAATAGGGAAGGAGGGCCTTGCCAGCCCTTTGCTTAAAACACAAAGGGAGGCAGTTTTGAAGCAGTTGACAGCACCACGCCTGTCTCTGGGGTTCCCAGCCTGACCCATTGTTCACCTTTGCAGGTCAGCAGGGCATGGATGAAGGGGAAGCTGGGGCTGGTGAACACGTGGACCAGGGCTCTGTACCCAAGAACAGCAGTGAGGGGACTTACTTGCCGCCACTCAGGAAGCAGCCCTGGCAGGAAGATGAAACCCAGGCAGAGGTACACTTTCTAATGGACTCCCCTTTGTCATTGTTCTTCTTGACTTCAGAAGGGATGCTTCCTCCCTTCACCACTATTTTTTCCTCCAGAGATGAGTACTTTGAATTTAGTGACCACTGTTTCCCCAAGTATCAACTATGGAACAGTGCCTAGCACTGTCAGGTGCTCCTTGGGGGGAAAAAAAAATTGGCAAATACATTTGAGAAATGCTGCAAACCATGTTCTCCTGAAGGGTCACCAAGCACATGTGGATATGCACTGCTTTGAAAAGTTCTACAGGGAAAGCAGCCAGTTATGCAAACTCATTTAATCACAGACCCTCACCCCACTCTTCACCCATCCAGGCAGGTATAATCTTCTCTAGAAAATAGAGCTCTTTTTTTTTTTAAAGATTTATTTATATAAGCACTGGGTACAGGCAGAAGCGCGGGAGGGTAAGAGAATTCACCAGAGCCAGAGCGGGAGCAGAATAGACAGACTAACGAAATACACTGCTGAGGGGAGCAGCGGGTGGCAGGAGAGTTCCGCGCACCATGTGGGACCCTTGCCAGCGGCCGGGGATCGAACTGGTGCTGCAGAGGCTGTGGGCAGCTTTGCAGGTCAGCGCTCAACCGCTGCACCACCAGAGGAGGCCCTAGAAAAAAGAGCTCTTGACCTTAGAATTGGAAAAATTTCAGCCTGATCCTTCATCTTCATAGGTGCAATGAGCCTTTCCAAGAAATTGAACTTACTTGGAACCTGAATTTCTTTTTGTGTAAATGGAGCAGCAAAGTTACTAGGAGGACTAAATGAGTGAAAATGTAAAAATACTTTCTGAACTCTAAGGCCTATGTGAGTGTGTGTGTGTGTGTGTGTGTGTGTGTCTATAAGACAACAGTAGTTTAAAACAACAGGAAAAATTTATACTCCTATCTGGAGTAAATTTGTCTTTACTTACTAAGGTCATCTGCCAGTGAGAAGAGGCGGACAAGAGGAGTGCCCTACAAGGAAAGGGAGTGGGTAGAGACATTTTATGATGGATAAAGATAATGGCACTAGTGCTTCGTTTTGGGTTTTTTTTTTTTTTTTTTTTTTGCAAGGACACACTCCATGTCACGCCTGGTTAAATGTCGTCCTTTCTATTATCAATCACACAATGTTTTATGGTAATAAACAGCATAAAGTTCTTGCTATTATAACCTTGCTTTTCTTCCCAGGCTGCAAAAGAGGTTTCATCTTTGGAACCACAAATCTAGCCACAGAGTCTGAGGATTAAAAGAATCTGCTCGGCTTCCTTACAAAAGCCTGTTTACAGCACTGTGTATCTGTCGTTCCCTAGGACACGTCAATAGAGAATCACCGACGTATACACGCTTCAAAGGAAAGCCACAATGAAATAGCACAGCAAACCTCCAGGAGGGCCTTTGGGCATGCCCACTTCGATCATTCTTGGCTCCTGAGTGACAAAGCCCATGTTACATTCTATGGAGGCGCCTTCCCCAACAGGAAGGCAGATCTCAGTGGTAAGAAGCCAAATGTCTTGCTTTTGATCTGGATAAACTTAATGATGCAGAGTTCATTTGAGAACACTGAGGCACACCAAGTGTACTTCCTCACACCACTCACCTTAGAAAACAATAGCCAAAGTCCAGCTAGAGGTGGGGATAAGTCTGACAGTCTCCTCTAGACTTGCCCTTAGCTGACCCACATTCCACAATCAGGCTGCCTGAGTTCAAATGACCCCCACTGACTAGCTGTGATCCTGGGCAAGTTATTAATTTTGCTGGGGCTCAGTTTACTCATTTGTAGAATGGGGATTATCATCATTCCTCCATCAGGCTATTGCAGGGATTAAGTGAGTTAATGCTGAAAAATACTTTGCCTAATTCTTGTCTCCTATTTAGCACTTAATATTGTTGGCTATTATTATTATCTTTATCATTCTCTCCAGCACCTGACTCAGCTAGAAAGAATCCAACCTAGAGAATAAGATTCAGCCTCTGTGAACTTGCCTCAGTCAAAACTGTCTTTGTACCAGCACTCACCTGACCTTTCTTCCCATTCACCTCAAAATGATAAAAGTTAAAAGCCGACCGCCCATCTCCATACCTGCAGCTAACAGAGTCCCATTCCCATCCTGTTTCTATAGACGGACCCTGGAATGTGAAACTCCACAAGGGCAGAAGGAGCCCTATGTTACAGGAGCCTCCTGCTGAAAGGTGCCTTTTCCCTCCTGTACCATCTGCCACTGGCTCAGAAAAAAATGCAACTGGGGAAGTGAAGCAGAAAAAGGTGTGTGATTGTATGTGTGCGTGTGTGTGTGCACTCAAAAGATTAATTTCAATCAAAGAATGAGGTGACTCATGGGATATCTAAATTGGCCTTACTCATGTGGGAGACAAAGTTTTCTTTTGGTTGGTCTAACAGTTTGACAAGACAGATTATTAGGAAGGAAAAAATAAATTTAATTTTGTACATATGGAAGCCTCATTCGAAGCAAACAACCCAGGCTGTTTTTATAACTTAGACAAAGAAACAATAAATTTGTGAAGAACTGACAAGGTAAGGAAGTTTTAGGCTTGGGTACTAGTTAGTGTTGAACTAAGCATGGCTTGTTTCACACAGTTTTCGTGGCCCTGGGCTCCCTTCTCTGGTGATAAGGATGTCTCTTGAATCTCAGTGTGGGGAGCACATATTTCACATGGAAGATTTACTTCCTGCTTTCAGGGGGGTCAGAGTATCCTTCCTGCACCAGCTGTTTCTCAACTTATTTCAAAATTTAGCAAAGCGGTATATTTAGCAAAGTGGTATATTTTAGGTGAGCCTGCCGGAACCCCATCCTTGTTCTGAACTCACCATGTGGAACTACAGTAATTGACTAAATGTTGAAAATAAGAGAAGTACAAGGAATTTCAGGTGCCCTGAATTCTACCTTAAAGGATATGATAGCCTCACACTTTCTGGTGGCAGCAGAATCCTTGGTTCTGTGAAGGGGCTGGTGGCGGTGATCTGTAAACACATAAGGACAGAATTTGGGTTTGTAAGCAGTTGATCACTTCAGACTCAAAATACTGATGACCTTGAATCTAGCGATGTTTTTTGTTTCATTAAGGGCCTGTGGCTTTTAAGAATTTAGGCTGAAGTTTACGGGTTTATCAACCCCTTCAAAAGTCAAGTATATCTTCTTCCTTAGAGTTGTCCTTAGCTGTGTCCAACCTGGACCTGCCTTGAAATTTGATGTGGATTTTTGATGACTTGGAGCTACCTGTACAGATAGGGAAAGAGCAAGGGCTCTGGAAAGCTCTGCCTGTATGAACTTGAGCAGGTAGCTCACCCCTCTGCCTCAGTGATTTTGTGTGCAAGGATAACAACACCAACCTCACAGGACTGATGGAAGGATGAAAGAAGATGCATTTGGGGGGAATATTTTGCGTCCAACTGGGAACTACAGGATGCTGGTTCATTGCGGGAGCTGTGTCATCTGGGGAGGTGCTGAGGCAGCCATGTGCATTCTAGCTGGTCCTGATGCCAGTGAGATGGTTGTCTTCAGTCTGTTCAGGACTTTCACTGATGTCCTGTCCATGATGAGCATAAGCTGATCTAAATCTTTCCATCTACACCAGAAAGACTTGTGTCCTCCCAATCCTCCCAAGTTCTTTTGGACCAGCGGCAACAGCAGACTCGACCTGCCAGGGTCCCCGTGTTCCTAAGGAAAGTCCTTAATTTCACACACCCCCAGTCAGCCCAGAACTGAACCAGGAGCAGACGTCAGATGGAAGTCCCTTCCCTCGCTCCATGTACATGGTTTAACAGAGGAAAGCAATATTTTCCCCTATATAAAACTAAATTTTTAAATTAGAATAAAGAAATTAAGCTTTGGCTTGTCAACCATACCTCATACAAATCATTTGACTTTCCACATAGGTTTCTCAATGCAAACCTTGTCAAATAAAATGCACAAGGTCAGTATTCAGAAAAGGGCAGTTGGTGGGCAGCTGGCACCGGGCTCTGAAGGTCTCCAGGAACATAAAGATCCTATGTGCATGTGTTTGGTTAATCGTTTTCTTAATGTCTCAAAATTATAAATATCACTCTGCACATATTTGGTTGCACTTCCTTCCTCATTGGGCTCTAAACATGTGGATAACTATGTGTGTTTCTGATCATTTTATTCTTTTTGAACACTAAAAAAAGGGAGAAACAGTTTTATTTTTCCTCCTATGAAATTGAACTCCCTGAAATCCAGCACACACATACATTCATAGAGCCAAGTTCACATGTGCAAAGACACAAACTAAAAGAAGAAAACCTCAGCAGCTTCTGAATAACTGAAAACAAGGGGCTTTAAATACCTTTCTCTCCTTGTCGTGTGTGTGTGCGTGTGTGTGTGTTATGGGGTTTTGGACACACACAAACAACAATGACAACAACAAACTGGGCTAATGCTGTGGCTTTCTCTGATACACAGCAATTCTTTTTTTATTGTTCTGTTCATATTGCTGCAGAGTGAGGACCTGTATATATTCTCCCAGTGGTATGATTGGTTACTTCCATTTTATTTTTTTTAATTTTATTTAAATTTTATTTTTATATTCCCCATACAATTACAACCCCCTTATTTTGACCCCAAGCCCTCCTTTCTCCGCCCCCCACCTCCCATAGAGTGTCTCTGGTTCGTAGTTGTTTGTTGATTTTGATATTTTCTTTCTTATAGTTATTCTTTTTCCTGGTCCCTTATTTAAGTTTTCTAGATTCCTGCTATGACTGAGACCATCCGGTATTTTTCTTTTTCTTTTTGGCTTATTTCGCTGAGCATGATCCCTTCCAGCGCCATCCATGTTGCTGCAAATTGCATGTGTTTATCTTTTTTGAATGCTGAGTAATATTCCATGGTGTATATGTACCACATCTTCTTGATCCAGTCATCTATTTTTGGGCATTTGGGCTGTTTCCAAAGCTTAGCTATTGTAAATAGTGCTGCTATAAACATAGGGGTGCAGGTGCTCTTTGGAATTGATGTTTCTGTGTCCTTTGGGTAAATACCTAGGAGTGGAATTGCTGGATCATATGGAAGCTCTATGTTTAGTAGGTCAAGAAATCTCCACACAGCTCTCCAGAGTGGTTGGACCAGTTTGCACTCCCACCAGCAGTACAGGAGAGTTCCTTTCTCTCTACATCCTCGCCAACATTTGTTGTTGCTAGTTTTTTTAATATGTGCCATTCTCACTGGTGTAAGATGGTATCTCATTGTAGTTTTGATTTGCATTTCCCTGATTACAAGTGATGTTGAACATTTTTTCATATGCCTGTTGGCCATTTGCATTTCCTTTTTGGAGAGGTTTCTTTTTAGCTCTTCTGCCCATTTTTTGACTGGATTATTTTCTTTGTTTTTGTTGAGTCTCATCAGCTCTTTGTAGATTTTTGTGATCAGTCCCTTATCATTAGTGTTGTGTGCAAAAATGTTCTCCCAGTCGCTGGGGTTTCTCTTTGTTTTGGTTATTGTTTCTTTTGCTGTGCAGAAGCTCTTTAATTTGATGTAGTCCCAGCTGTTTATCTTTGCCTTCACTATCACTGCTTTGGGTGATATGTCTGTAAAGATGTCTTTGATGTGCATATCATGTAGTGTTTTGCCTATATTTCCTTCTATGTATTTTATGGTTTCAGGTCTTATGTCTAGTTCTTTAATCCATTTTGAGTTGGTTTTTGTGTATGGTGTGATGTAGTAGTCAAGGTTCATTCTTTTGCATGTAGCGACCCAGTTTTCCCAGCACCATTTATTGAACAAATTTCTTTGCTCCAATGTATATTCTTTGCTCCTTTGTCAAAGATTAGTTGACCATAAATCTGTGGGTTTATTTCTGGATTTTCTATTCAATTCCATTGGTCTGTGTGTCTGTTCTTGTTCCAATACCATGCAGTTTTGACAATTATGGCTTTGTAGTACAGTTTGAAGTCTGGGAGTGTGATGCCTCCATTCCATTCTTTTTTTTTTTTTCAGGAGAGCTTTGCCTATTTTGGGTGATTCCATATGAATTACATCAATAATTGTTCTATTTCTTTGAAGAATGACATTGAAGGGACTCCCAAGTGGCGCAGCGGTTGAGTGCTGGGTTGCGAAGCTGCCCGCAGCCTCTGCAGCGCCAGTTCGATCCCCAGCTGCTCCCTGGCCACCAGAGGAGGGTCCCACATGGCGCGCAGACCTCTCCTGCCGCCCACTGCTCCCCTCAGTAGTGTACTTTGGTCCTTCTGCCTGCTCTGCTCCCCGCTCTGGCTCTGGTGAATTCTCTCACCCCCCGTGCTTCTGACTGTACCCTGTGCTTGTATAAATAAATAAATAAATAAATCTTAAAAAAATAAATAAATAAGAAGCACAAAGCCAGGAGTGCTTAAAAAAAAAAAAAAAAAGAATGACATTGAAATTTTGATTGAAATAGCATTGAATCTGTATATTGCTTTTGGTAGGATGGTCATTTTAATAATGTTTATTCTTCCAATCCATGAGCAGGGGATGTCTTTCCATTTCTTTGTATCTTCTTCTATTTCTTTTAACAGTGTTTTATAGTTTTCTTTGTATAGGTCCTGTACCTCTTTTGTTAGATTTATTCCCAAGTATTTGATTTTTTTTGTTTTGATAATAAAAGGGATGGTTTTTTGATTTCTTCTTCTTCAGATTTATTGTTTGTGTATAGGAAGGCTACTGACTTTTGCATGTTGATTTTGTATCCTGCCACTTTACTGAACTGATTGATCCGTTGAATTAGTTTTTCTGTCGGTTACTTCCATTTTGAAGAGGAAGAAATTGAGGCTTAAAAAGTTTCAGTGAGGAAAGTAAACACAAATGTACATTCCTGTTTTCTAACCATTCTTGCCTTAATGGTTGTGTATTCAGTGTTCTGCACCCTTTTTCTCTTAACAACAAATGCCAAGATTTCTCCCTCTCTATACATAGAAATCTCCATGTCTGGTAGATTTGCCATAAGTGCTTAGCATCAAGCATTTTCAGCTCATAATTAATTGATGGTAAGGCAATTTTGCCATAAAAAAATAAATCATGAAAAATTAAAAAAAGGAAATTACTTTAAAGGATATAATGAAATAAATTTTCTTTTTTGCTGAAATTTCTTCCTTTATTAGAAGAGGTATCAGTTCTCAAATACTATGATGTATATTTGTAACTGAGATTTGCATCACTGTGAAAGCCATGTTTTGGTATGTTTTATTTTTTTAACTATTTATTTATGCATCCATGCAAGAACTGGGGTACAGTCTAGAAGTGCAGGAGGTGAGAGGATTAACCAGAGACAGTGGGGAGCAGAACAGGCTGATCAACTGAAATACACTGCTGAGGTAAGCAGTGGGCAAGACAGAAGAGATCTGCTGCACCATGTGGGTAGCTCCCTGGAAGGCTGAGGATGGCTGTCGATAGCTTCACAGTGCTGTGCTAACTCCTTGTGCCACCAGGGAGGCCCAGAAAGCTGTGTGTTTTAATCAAAAGAGGGGTGCTGCTATTTTTTATCATTATGTGTAGCACACATGACTGGTAGTAACTATCTGAATGAACTACATTTACACATTCCAACCAAGTCCAGTCCTTCTAATAAGCCAGATTCTATGCCGTAACCAAGATGCTATCTACATCATTTCTCCACTATCAAATTACAAAAAAGAAAATCCCATATTCAAGAAATGTATAGTAATCAAGTAACCATTTCTTTGTGGGTGGAAAGGGAATAGCAGGAGATACTTTTGCTTACAGCTTCTAATATTGTGGGATAAATTTGATAAATATGGCATTAAAGAACAAGTTGTATCAGGGCCTCCCTGGTGGTACAGGAGTTAAAGTCTCAGCGATATCACCAACCACTGTGAGTGGCTAGGCTGGCAGGTGTGAGTTCAATTTCCAGACAGGGAGCAACCCACATGGCGCAGCAGATCTCTCCTGTCTTGCCTGCTGCTCCCCTCAGCGGTGTATTTCAGTAGATACACCTGTTTCTGGTGAATCCTCTCAACCCCTGCACCTCTGGCCTACACCCCAGTTCTTGTATGCATAAATAAATAAAAATAAATCTTTAAAAAAGGGAACAAGTTCTATCTAAATTAGCTAAAGAATGAATTATTAATGGTCTCAGAGACTGTTATAAATTACTAGCTGCCATAGCTTGGCAAACTTTTGGTTTTGATGGGTGGGAGAGGTGACTGCTCACAGAAAGATTTGCCATTGATAAGCTATCATTCTCTAGTATGGTAAGCAATCAAGCTTTTACTCTTTTTCATTTCTACACCTCCCATACGTTTTATCCCCAGATTTTCACAATATAAATATGGGAGTGTTATGTCAGCTGAAACCAAACTTGAAAACAAACTGTCAACCAGTTATTTTTATCTCTTATTTTATCTCACAGCAAAACTGCTGTGCAACCAATTTGCAACAAAATGCTTGCAGCAAAGAACTTATGGCAAATCTACCTACAAGCAGAAATTTCAGCTAGCTCATTTCAATCCAGCTCAGTTTCCACAGTTGCAAGAGAAAGAAAGACTATATTTCCTCCCCAAAGCTCTTACATGTATTATTTTTGTACTTCTCAAAAAAAATCAGGCTGGATTAAGGAAAACATAGCCAAATTCTAAGAAGCAAACAGCATCACTCTAGTCAGATATGGTCGCCAAGTTAGTTTTCCTTCTCAGCCTTTCCTTCTCGATTTTCCTTCTCTTAAAGCTGTATGAGCTACATCACACCCAGCAACTCTGGTGCTAGAGATACAATAAGTTACAATGCCATCTTGCAAGCAGCCTGCTTTGGATACAGGCCATCTTGGATTTTGTTTTGTTCTTAAATTTTCTCCAGGCACCAAAGACTCTGAAATTACCTCTTATCTCGGAAGAATCACACAGAGTCCTGGACCCACCAAGGAGTCAATTTAAAGCTAATGAGCCCCCAGCAGAGCTCTTCATCTTTCCAGTGGAGATTCATTTTCACACCCACCATCGCCCTAAAGAAAAAGCACACAAAAGAAGTAAGTTCCCTGTGGCTGTCAGGCTAAGAAGGACTGGGTTGTGGGTCCCACTAAATCATGACTGACCCTTCCAGAGCCATCCCTTTCAGAAAAATTTTTTTATATTTATTGAGGTAACATTGATTGAAAACATTGGATATGTTTTAGGGGTATAGGTTCACACCTCTATAAATGTATGATATCATTTATACCTCCTACCAAAACCCCAATAATCCTCTACCACATTCTATTGCACCCCAACCCCCAATATGTACCCAGCCACCTCCTCCCCATCCCTTTCTGGTAGCCTCAGTGCTATAGTCATATTTAAGAGTTTGTTTTATTTTGCTTTTGTTTGTTCCTTCTTATTTCACTTAGCACAGTTCCATCCAATTCTATCTGTGCTCTCTCTCTACACACACACACACACACACACACACACACACACACACACACACACATATATATATATGATGGACTTCTACTCTTTAAAAAAAACATATATATATATATATATATATATATATATATATATATATATATATATATCAGTGCTGACTGGGAGCTGTGGTTCATATCACTGCCCAACATTAGGAGAGAATATGATAGAGCATATCACATGTCACATATTGCTAACCTGAAATAAAGTATAAATTCACAATTTGAAGTACAGTTTCTACTAAATATGTATCTCTTTCTCACCATCATAAAGTCAAAAAATAAAAATTGTATCATCTTAATTTGGGAAACATATCTGTGTAAAACAACAACTAATGCTAAAAAATTGAGAGAAAAAACTGGTAAAGAAGCAAAGAAATAGATGTTATCAGACATATGGGATGAATTCATTGCTTTAGGTAAGCTCTAGGTTTAGTTGAATTTCCTGGCAGCCAAAATAAAAAGAATATTTGGATCTTCAGATCTTCATTTTATAAAAGGAAGATGAAAGTGTCTGAAAAACCATTTTCCTGATTTTGATTTGGGTTATTATGTAACATTAGATGATCTCCACAATCTTTGTCAGGGCAGAGATTTTGTTTCTAAGCAAAGTGCTAACAGTTTGAGATCAATTCCAACAGTGAGATCAATTCCAACTGGGGATTTAGGAAGTCTCTCTGGAGGAGGCTTTTGAGTGAACGCTCACCCTGTGACCCAAGGAGAAATCTAATCTTCCCAACTTTTTCCACAGTCCCCTTGCCCACAACACATTCATGCTCCTGGGACTTCTCTGGGCTACCAGAGGCAAAAGAGGATTCATTAAACAGCTGACTCCAATTTTGGGAAGGTCCTAGTTCTGAGGTTTCCAGAAACTTCAGTTTAGAAGCTGCCTTGATTTTTCAGAGGGTTTTTGTTTTACGACCCCATTTGAAATTTCTCATCATGAAGAAGAATACCTAACTGTGAACTTAAAAGATCAGTCAATGGAAGAGGACAGGAGAGAAGTTTCTGTGATGGAACTATTCTAAATCTTGGTTGGACATATACATTTGTCAAAACTCATTGAACTATACACTTAAGATCTTTGCATTTCACTGTTTGTAGATTTTAACTTTGAAAAAGGTTACTTCAGTCCTTAAAATGCACACACACCACAGAGTATTTTTAAATATAGTTTTTATTATTATTCAGATAGGGTAAGGCAACCATATCAGGAGACAATCACCTCTGAAAAGATAGTTTGCTACTTACAGTTTCCAAGAGGAGGGAGCAGACCACACTATATGGAGTGACTCAAAAAACTCCAGGGTCAGTTAGGATGCAGAAGGGTAGAGCGGGGCATGGTCCAGAGTCTTTACTGTGGTTTCTGCAAGAAGGAATGGGCAAGGCAGGCTAAACAGGCTTGAAATTGACTAATTTGAATAGTTTGGGTGGGCTCTGGACGTAGGGGCTGTCCCTAGTTGTCTGATACCTGGCATTGATTAGGCCAGGAGGGTGGTGGCCTCAGAGTATGAAAGTTGGATAAAGGAGGTGGTTGGGAGTTAGGAGCTCTGAATTAGTTTGTTTGTATATAAAAGACAGACTCACATGTGATCCTTCATTACTTCTAGGAATCATCTAGCCCTGGGAGTGACGGTCTCTCCTGGTCAATATGACTCCAGATGCCAAAACATCCAAATGAAAAGACAATACTATTAGCAGGATTTGGCTAAATCCTGATTATATTCCATGATGACCTTGGAAAGAAAGTCAGGAAGACAACCAGGCCATCATGAACAAGATTCTTAAAGTTTTTAGAGGCAGTGAGCTTATATAAGATAGGGAATCCATTGAGTTCTTCTTTCTATTATATGCTGGTGAAGACTCTGAGTAATAAATGTCAGAAACCTAGTTGAAACTGTCTTAAGCAACAACATGAACACTATGCTCATGTAATTGGGTAATGCAAGGAGCAGATAACTCCAGGCTCATTTGGATCCAGGTCTCAGAAAATGTGATCTGGACAATATTTAAGTCTTTCAGTACTGTGGGTCTTTCCTCCCAATCGCACTGTATCCAAATGCATTGTAAAGATGACCTCCTACAATTCCATACCAACCTCTTATCTGTTGACCCAAGTAAAAAAAGGATACATCTCTTAAAAGCTCTTTCAGGGCCTCCCCTGATGGTGCAGGCGGTTGAGCGCCGCGCTGTGAAGCTGTCTGCAGCCTGTGCAGCACCAGTTCGATCCCGGCCAGCCGGGAGGGTCCCACATGGCGGGACAGACCTCTCCTGTCTCACCCGCTGCTCCCCTCAGCAGTGTATTTCGTCAGTCTGCCTGTTCTGTTCCCCGCTCTGTCTCTGGTGAATCCTCTCACCCTCCCGTGCATCTGGTCTGTACCCCAGTTCTTATATAAAATAAATAAATAAATCTTTAAAAAAAAATCTCTTTCAGGGCCTCCCTGGTGGCACAAGGGGTTAAGCACAGCACCATGAAGCAATCCGCAGCCTCTGTAGCACGAGTTCAATCCCTGGCCAGCCAGGGAGGTAACCCACATAGAGCAGCAGACCTCTTCTGACTTGGCTACCTCCCACTCAACAGTGTATTTCAGTTGATCTGCCTATTCTGTTCCCCACTCTGTCTCTGGTGAATCTTCTTAGCCCCGCACCTCTGGCCTGTACCTCAGTTCTTGTATGCATAAATAAATAAATCTTTTTAAAAAAAAAAAAAAGTTCTTTCAAAAGTATCCGAACTGCCACTGACTGGGTTGTACACCCATGACAGACCCGGCCACTGTGACTGAGGCAAGGAGGAGCTCTGCTTGACCAGGTTTCAGTTCCCCGCTGAGCTCAGGAGTCAGGGAATAGATACAACTCTACCCAAACCACACAGTGTGAACAGCAGAGAGACACATCCCCCCAAAAAGAAGAGAAGAGGACAAAAAAAAACCACAGATGTCTACTACGACATGGCTTTTCCTTTGGTCTCTTAGGTGCTCCACATCCTGAACCAGGACCAGAAACAGAAGAGACCAGGCATTTGTGGAAACCTCCCCTGAAACATGCATCCTTAGAAAGACCAAGGGAACTGACTGTGCATCTCCCAGTCGACACAGGCAGAGACATGCTCTCGCCTCAAGGTAATTGCTCCTTCCCTCCAGCATCCCAAAGAAATCTCACTCCAAAGGGAAGCAAGCCGAGACACAGAGGGTCCTCAGTCACCAAAAAAAGAGGCTTCAGGGCCTCCCCGGTGGCGCAGCGGTTGAGCGCTGGGTTGCGAAGCTGCCCGGGGCCTCTGCGGCGCCGGTTCGATCCCCGGCTGCTCCCCGGCCACCAGAGGAGGGTCCCACATGGCGCGCAGACCTCTCCTGCCGCCCGCTGCTCCCCTCAGCAGTGTACTTCGGTCCTTCTGCCTGCTCTGCTCCCCGCTCTGACTCTGGTGAATTCTCTCACCCTCCCGCGCTTCTGACTGTACCCAGTGCATGTATAAACAAAACAAACAAACAAACCAGCAAACAAATAAATAAAGCATGCCTCTATTAAAAAAAAAAAAATTATATAAAAAAAAAAAAAAAAGAGGCTTCAAGGGAGGCTAGCTCCTTCCCAGACACTTGAAAATAACTTTTGTTCAAGTAGCATCTGCCTGAACCAAAGTGCTTTAGTCAGACCACTAGCATCCAGCTCACATATTACTTACTCACTAAATCATCCTCCAACTAATATTTCCTGATTGCAGAGCATAAAACAGCATCAAACTTGTTAAAAATTTGCTGCCAACTCCATAGTTCCTCCTGTGTTGTTAATGAATGAAATTTCATGTATGTATTCACTGAAAGTCCATAATATGAGTAAAAGTATTCATTCTAATTTTTCAAAACAGCACATGGACATTTGAGATTATACAGTAATGACCTCTCAGTGAATATTTTTACATGTTGCATGGGTTGGAAATAATTTGCCATACTTTAGAAAGTTCCTCATTTTCAGAAATCTGAGCCTCCTTTCCAAAGGGCAAGATGATGGCATCAGAAATGTTAATTGACATCCGATTAGTATACAAAATCCCTGGTGGTGCAAGGGGTTAAGTCGCAGTATTATGGATTTTAAAAAATTTTCATTTAGGATGATTGTCTCTCAATTAAGAGACAGAGGGATAAACAAGCCCCTGCCCCAATAATCAAAGGAAGTTCTCAAAACAAATATTTCAAGAACATTCTGGCCTGGGTTCACCACTCTGTTTATTCTGAAAAGCAGTGCTGTGCAGTGGGTAAGAGCACAGATTCCACTTCTAGAAAGCCTGAGCTCCAAACCCACTAGGCCACTGCTGTGATGTGACATCAAACAAGTTACTTATCTATTAGGGCTTCAGTTTTCTGATCTGTAAAATGAGAGTAGGATGTGAGGAGTAAAGGAGAGACTATATATTCAAAACTAAGGATAGTGCCTAGCAGAGGAAAAACTCCATAAATATTAGTTGTTTATCTAATTTTTTTAAAGATTTATTTATTTATGCATACAAGAAATGGGTTACAGGCCAGAGGTGTGAGGGGTGAGAGGATTCACCAGAGACAGAGTGGGGAGCAGAACAGGCAGATCTACTGAAATACACTGCTGAGGGAAGCAGTGAGCAAGACAGGAGAGGTCTGCTACACCATGTGAGTCACCTCCCTGGCCAGAGATTGAACTCATGCTGCAGTAGCTGCCCATAGATTCATAGTGCTGAGACTTAACCTCTTATGCCACCAGGGAGGCCCACTTAAGATTTTCTTAATCACGTTAAGAAAATCTTACAATAAAGATTTTTACTACTTTATTGTAAGAATACAGTATATAAATTATAGAGCATACAAAATATATGTTCATCCACAGCGTGTGTTAGCGGTATGGCTTCCAGTCAACAACAGGCTATTAGTAAGTAGTTAATTTTCTTTAGGGGTCAAAAGTTACATGTAGATTTTCAATCATGGGGTAGTTGGTGGTCAGCATCCCTAACCTCCAAGATGTCTGAAGGTCAACTGTAGATGCATAAAGAAAGGAAACCAAAAAGGTGAGTTTGTCATGATGGACTCTCTCACACAGAGGTCCCTGGGGCAAGATAATTTAGATCTAGGAAGTGGGATAATCCAACAGCCACAGAGGTTGTTCATGCCCATTTACTTGCTTAGCTTTGGAATGTTTCACCTCTAATATAAATAAAATTACTTACTAATATAAGTAATATAACTTACTGAGAGTAAGTTACAGACTTTGCACCTCTGATCCCTTATGGGCACATGTGTCCTGAAGGTAAGGATATTCTTCCTCCTAACCACAATAGAATAATTACAATCCAGAAAATTAACATTGATATAACACTCTTTTCCAACATATAGTCCATAGTCATTTTTCTATTTATACCAATAATGTGATATTTGTTTGTTTGTTTTTTTATTGTTCCAGGATTTAAATCAGCATCACACACTGTGTTTTTTTTACCATGTCTCTTTAGAATCTTTTCATCTGGAACACTTCCTCAGTCTTGGTTTTCATGACTTGGCATTTTTAAAGCAGATAGGCCAGTGGATTTGCAGAATTACCCTCAATTTAGATTTGTCTGCTTCCTCATGATTAGATTCAGATCAAAATTTTTTTCAATAATCACAAACAATAATAATAATAAAAGAAATCACCAAGTGACTTGTTAAAAAATACATGAATTAAAAACTATAAATCTAAAATAAAAAAGAATAGCACACGGATGACATGCTGTCATCAGCGCATTCTGTCAAGGAACACAAAATATTCCTTTACAATTAGCCCATTTGTTATAATTTTTTCTATTTTAGGTGACATTAAATTTCATTATTTGGTAAAAGGCAGTGCCTGCCAGCTTTCTCTATGGTAAAGACATCTTTTTCCCATTGTAATAACTAAGTAGCCTGTGACACCTTAAAACTGTGAAGCCAACTTTCCAGCACAAATAGCAACAGTGTATTGTGCATGAAATAAAGACTGCTCTTTCCCAAGAGATTAAGACAAAGTATTCATCACTTAGAGTGTTGTGTTTTACCCTACCCTCCTGAGAGTAGATCCTGCTGGTTTTGAGAGCTAGAGACACAGACTGAGGCACAGGCAAGAGCTTTGAAGGACATTACCATCAATCCCAGTGCCCTCTGGCTATGACCTGGGCATGGTGCTTTGTTCTCTATGACCTTCAGGAGTGACATGATCATTGGCTTTGCTCAGAAAGATTGCCTTGTGGTTGGAACTCTGTAGCCAATAATCTCATGATCTCTAAACCTGGGGTCTTCCTACTTAAAGCCTACCCACTGGGGGCTGCAGGACTTGCAGCCTACAAGTCTTTCTTCATCTCAGAAGCCCACCAATAAGATAAAAATAACAACAGCCACTGCTCAATTCCTCCAGATGAAGGTCACTGTTCTGCAAGGCTGACTCCACTTTGGCTGTGGGTAATACCTGGCCACTGTTCCTAAGAAGACTGAAAATGAAGAACAGAATTGAGAGTGAGTGGAGTAAACCATCCTAACACAAGGATCTACCACAAAGTTAGAGAAGAAGCACACTCCCTCTCAGTCTCAGAAGGTCTCACTCAAGCTCTTTCTCCTTTTGCTTTTGAAGAGAAGGGTGTCCCACCACTGGGTCTTCCATCCCTGATTAAAGGAAGAAAGAGTCCAGAAAAGGGCCTGGACAGCCCCAGGATGGTGGGCCACAGCAGCCCCAGAGGCCCCCTGAATATGAGGCCACCCACGGAGGCTCTCCCAGCAGGACAAGGTAATCACTCCTGGTGCGTGTAGGTCCCCCTCCTTTTGGCTTGCCTGTGGCTTTAAGCTCAATTTAAGCTTTCTGAAAGTCACCCCATTGAAAAGGGGAAGTCGGTCATGTTTCCACCAATGTCAGTGGGATTAGTGTTCACCATGCATATTCCTAAAGAGTCAGTACATGTTTTAAGGGTTTGCTGCACCAACATGCACCACCAAGCTCTTCCCTGCTTTCTTCACTCCTGGCAGCAGCGTGTGATGACACAGCTCTGTGTGCTCATCAGGAAGACCAGCTAGTGGATTTACCAGGCATACTCAACACCAAGCTACACCCCTCCCCAGGAGCAAGGGAGCCCTGTGACCCTGCTCATATAAAGAGTCCCAAGAGGAAAGTCACCCTCCAGCCCAAACCAGAGCCTGAGACCTGCTCACAGGGAGGGGAAGGCTCTGATTCCTACTGAAGGACGAGGCATGTCAATGCCACACCCTCTATGACTTAGCGCTCTTTTCCTGAAGAGGTGACTGTCTGGGAGGAGGTGAAGATGGTTATACAAGAGCGACAGTGCAGCAACAGTAGCAGTGCAGTGACAGCTTCCCAGGGGGCTTATCTACATAAAGCAAAAATGGCTTAGAGTCCAAATTACCGCTGAAACTCCCTTGGGGAGGTGCCACACTGGAGACGGACAACCCATTTTCTAGAAAGCACAGCCCAGCCAACTCTTCCTCCCTTATCTGAGCATTGGGCTGCTTTCCTCAGCTGAGCACCCAATAAAGAAGATGCTATGTGTTTGAGTGCCAGACTATATGAAGAGAAGTATCTCTGTTGATAGCAAAATCACACTTGGGGCTGCAAGTAACTCACATCTGAAACGTTTGTGGGAACTAAGAGCCCCCAAGAAGATAAGAAACATGTCTTTCATTTTCATATCCTGGGGCTTCCCTGGTGGCACAAGGGTTAAAGACAGCGCTGTCAAGCTATCGCCAGCCACTGCAGCACGAGTTCGATCCCTGGCCAGTGAGGTGACCCACATGGTGCAGCAGACCTTTCCTGTCTTGCCCGCTGCTCCCCTCAGCAGTGTATTTCAGTCAGTCTGCCTGTTCGGTTCCCCACTCTGTCTCTGGTGAATCCTCTCACCATCCCCCAACCCCGCACCTCTGGCCTGTACCCCAGTTCTTGTATGCCTAAATCAATAAATCGTTTTAAAAAATCATTTTCATCTTCAGCTCACTCAGAACAGATGTCTCACTGTTTAAGACAGTCTCTCTGTCTCTATCTACCTGTCTGTCTATCTTTATCTCCCTCTAAATACCTTATTTTCACTTCTATACCATTTCATCAATGAATTTTCTCTGACAACCACCCCTTTTATACAAGTGTGATACAGGTGTCCTCTGATTTTGATACAAATAGACCAAACTTTAGGTGCAGTCATGTCAGCACCAAGGATGTTCCTAGGAGATTACACAGTCAGACAAGTCACACACACACACACACACACACACACACATACGGAAGCATCCTTGCAAAGGGAGAATCTAATTAGAAAGAATGTATGAACCAGGGCCATGACAATGACTACAGTACAGCCAGGAGCCTCCAGTGTATAGGTTGAGTGTGTAAATGTAGGTGTGTGAGGGTACATGTATCAGAAGCTATGTGTGTGCCTATATGCCTATGTGAGTGCATTTTATGCTTAAGTGCATTCATGCACACATACATATGTGCAACCACTCAGGCACACATGCCTGCCTGTGAATGAATACACATCTGTCACTGTTTATTAGTGGTGTGTGTGTCTACATGCATGTACACCTACATGTGTGTGGTTGTGCATGTGTGTGCTTGCTTGCCTGGGGTTGTGCCTATATGCATGTGTCCATGTGCAAATGTGTGTTTCTGTGTGTGCTTTTGTACACTTGTAAATATCCATCATGAGTGGTGCTCAGCTCAACTCCTGACTCCTTTGTCTTAGAGATGGGGAAGGTAAAGTTATAGAAACACCTTCAGTCCTTCTAAGCAACTGAGGGGAAGGAATGCAGCTTTCTTCTCCTTGGCCTCAGTCTCTGGAGTCACCAAGTATCCTCAGCATTTGGTCCATAAGCAACGGCAGCACATGCCGTGCGTGGCCAGCACAAAGGCATGTGACAGGTCTGGAAGCACCCAGCCCTGTGCCGAAGGGCTGAGTTGCATACGCCTGGAGGCAGGGTCTCCATTTCCTTCATTCAAAGTGCCCCTCAACCTAGCCTGGCCCTGATAGGGTTGCTGGAGTCCAGAGGGGCTTCTTTCTCCAGACTCTCACAAAGGCAAGAGAAAGGCTAATGGCTGCCCCACCTTGCTCATCACACCTTGGCCTCCAGAGGACAGAACCTAAACAATGGCCCGGTTCTGGTGAATTCCAGGAGAGGACTGACCCTACTCTGATGAGCACCCGCACGTATCAGCACCTTCCCACAGGGGACTCAGGGAGCACAGTCCAGATTCGACCTCCCTCCCCTGCTCTGGTACTAACACCGCCCTGTTTGTGCTTATTTTCAAGAGGAATCCAGAGACCCCACCCTGGGACACTTCTTGCTCAATCCAGAAGGGGAAAACATCAGCCTGTCCGTCCTGGGGCCTACCCAAACCGAGGCGCTTCCATCGGATGAAGGTAAGGCTGTAGCCAGGTCAGCCTTGTTTTCATAGGGGAAGATTTTACCGGCAGCTTCTAAGACTTCCCAGCAGCAGAGCCATCATTAAAAACAGAGGTAAGCCGGCCAGTTTCATCCTCTCCCTGACACAGAGGAGCTTCTGTAGCACAGACACAATAACCCAATGTTTGCATAACAAGTTGACTCTTGCTGAGCATCTGAAGAGAGAAGTTCCCGTGGAATGGCTTGGAGGAGGTCTAATGCGCTGAGCTGATGCCTTGATGAGAATGATAAAGCCCTCTTGGTATTTGCCCAAACTAAACAACTGCCTTTTCTCTTCTTTCCAACCACCCTCCTGAGGTGGCGGCGGCTAATTGGTAATCCAATCAGGTATCCTTCTTATGTGCATTGGTTCATTGCTGTGAATCATCTGGCTCCTGACAGATAGCAAGGCGGCTTCCAAAAAGCCTCCTGGCATGTTAACTTTTTGGAAAAGAGATGCTGGCTCTGAGCAATAACCATTTTGCAAAGGAAGAAGAAATGAAGTCAGAGGGTGATGAGTGTCAACCACCCAGGAACCCTCTTGATGTGTATGTGTGAGTGATACAGGCCGTAGAGCTCAGGCTGAGGGAGATTAAAATCTGCACTCGCTGGTGCATTCTGTCACAATTGGCTTAATAGAAAGAGCCTGAGTTCAGAGCCAGGAGCTCTGAGTAGCCATGGCTTGTGCTCTATGATTTCAGATGACTTTGGGTCAGACCCTCGCATTCTCCCTCGTCCAAGGTTCCTCATCCCATCTGAATCACAGGATGGAGTTCTTCACTGCCAGGAACTGGGAAGTTCCTTGACTATTGTTACATTTTACACCTTGTGTCTGTTGCTGTTGAAATAACCACCTACATACAGCTTGCAAGAAAGTACAAGGCATTTTGTTCCTCACTCAACATAAAAGAACTTCCATCACCACTTGGGTTATACCATATGAGTACAAGAATAACTTGATTCTAAAATGATTCTGAGTTTTTGGAAGTAGGAGTTAGACAGATGGAGGCCAATGTCCATGTGATACAGCTGTTTCAACAGCTGGAAAGCAAATATGATTCTGCACCCCTGCTCCATATCTGTCCACTTTGTTCCAGGGGAACTAGCTCCCCTTTTGACAAAGGGAAAGTCAGAAGCAGGAAAAGAAATATTAAGGCTTTAAGTTAGTTGTCACATTATTGAGATGATGTTTCAGTCATTTCTGTATCCCTTGCTGGATGTAGCCTCAGTCCTCTTTGTCATTCCCACTTTTGTGATTTATTGTGTTTATCAGAATAGTTTCTGTTTAATTTCCAAATATATTATAAGCCCTGAGAATCTCTTATCTTTGTAATATATCTAAGAAATGCTTGTTGATTGCCTGAATACTCTAGGTGCCACAAAGGAAGGTTCTTTTGGAATCACATTGGGTTTTGTTTTGTTTTGTTTTCAATTAAAAAAAAAAATCTTGAGTAAAGGAGGAAATATGATCTGTCTGATCTTTCTGAGACTTTCAGACTCTGTCAACATCTATTTGGAAATAAATTCTTAAGCAATTAGATCATGATCTCTTGCTTTCAGTCAGCATTGAGAAATGAATATAAGCCTTCAGAAGAAAAAAAAAAAGCTAGAGCTGGAATCTGACCCTCTTGGTCATGTTAGGGTATTGCAACATTTAGAAAATGCAAAACCTAAGAAAGGAAAAGTTGACTTGAAAGAATTCACATCAAAACATTGGATCTGCTCGCTGAATTTCTCATCATTGGTTTGCATCATCACCTATCCTAGTGACAGAGGCAGCAATGGACGTTTCCTTTTGGAAGTCTTATTCAGGAGTTTTTTATTGCAAGAAGTGCAAGAGGTATCTGTGCAATAATTCAGGTTAGGACTTCAGGTCCCACATAAATTTAAATTCTCAGTCTCTTTCACTTTTCCAGTTAGCACTTATTCTTATCCTAACTGGATTTTTACCCAAAAGGATGTTTTTTTGTTTTTCGGTCATTGAATTAGCATCCTTCTGTCATGCAGCACTTTGTTGGTGTGGTGCTTTTAAAATATGTTCCAAATGTCTCAATGTTTTCCTTGAGTGTGTGCCTACACATAGTAGCTCCCTTCTAATAAAGACAGAATATGACAGAAGTGATGTGTGTGACTTCTGAGACGGCCATAAAAGGTGCTGTGGCTTCCATCTTGTCTCTCTCTTGGATTAGTCACTCTGGTGAAAGTCAGTCACCATGTCTGTGGTGCAAGCGGCCTTATGAAGAACTGTACATGAACAGAAACTGAAGGCTCCTGCCAACAGCCAGAATGAACTTTCCAGGCTTATGAGTGAGCCACCTTGCTAAGAGATGGTCCAGTCCCAGTCTTCAGATAGCTGCATCCCAGGCTACCATTCTCCAGCAACTGCAGCCTCAAGAGACACTGCACCAGAATCACAAACCTAACCACACCCCCCACCCACAGATTCCCACAGAGGTTTTGTGAGCTAAAGATTTATTGTTCTAAGTCACTAGGTTTTGGAGTCATTTGACTTCAATAACAGAAATATTTGGAGTCATCCCCTGATGGTCTGCAATTTGGTAAACAAAAAAGAAGGATCCAAAAATATCCCAGCTGGTTTCAAAACACTGATTGTTTAGGGGCAAACATATGCTAAATGACCTTCTTTCTCTTTGTCCTCCCCATTTGTCTTTTGTGATAAAGTTGGTTATAGGTAAAAGAATCCTTCCTTGTGGGATATTTGACAAAGGATGATTTTCCTTCTTTTAGCAATGGTTACCTTAGTGAAGGTGCCTGATATTTAAAAAAGGAGAAGTCCTTTAGATGAGGCAAGAAGTAGGAGGAAGAAGAAAGAACTCTGAACTAAAGTTGTGGGTTTTATTCTCAGGTTTATCACCCATGATTTCTATGGTCACAAGAAAATAATTTTATTGCTTTGGCCCTCGGCTTCCTCATATGGAAATAGAGGAGTTGGAATTAGCTCCAGGGATGCCAGTGTGTGTCACAGAGCTCCAGTTCTTCAGATAGTGAACAGGCATTATGTTAAAAGGACTTTTCTTTCCCAACTGAAGCCCCAAGAACCCAGCAGCCCTCCCACCCCAGGTGTTCTGATAGTCACCTGCAGTTTCCCCAAAACACAGGAGTTTCCTTTCCTTTGACAAAAGCCTCTCATGATTCCTATAAAGACTCCCCTATTTCATAGTGAAATGTGGTGTCATCACCACTTTATAGCTCCCCAAGAAAAAAAAAAGTCAAAAATAATAGTTTTCTCCGAATCTGGAAATTCCTTTTTCGAAGAAACAATTCAATATGAAGTGTTAAACACTTAATTCCTGTTCATTTTTTTGAATTTGATGGTCCTCATGTGTTTTTCCAAATAGCCTATGAAGCTATGAGCTCTACCTCCCTCACAGCTAATCAGCTTCAGAGCCCTAGAGTCTTTCGGGAACACAGGCATTACCTGCATCAGTGTTTAAAGACACCAATTGATTAAAGGGGTAGAAGCAGAGCTGCCTATTTAAAGTGTGGATGGTCTGCCTGTGTCCCCCCCAACTTCTCTACAGTCTAGCTAATGCTTCCCCTCCTAAGATGGTGTAAAGGCAGGACAGGACACAGTGCAGGTTTTCTGATCCAGCGGACTGGGTAAAGGAGGAGTCAGAGTCCTCAGTAATTTTGCAGGTTTTTTATTGGGGTTCAGCGGGTACGTGGCAGGCAGGGGTGCTGGGGGGTTGGGAGGCTGGCAGTCCTCCCAGCCCCCAGCAAATCTTCACTCTATCTGGGCTCTCTGGTGTTCGTTCTGCTGCTTCTCGGCTTCTCTTTCGGCTTCTGCTTCGGCTTCTCCTGGCGTCCCCGTGACGCCGCCCTTAAAAGCACAGTCTTAGCCCAGGTGTACCCACTCCAGGTGCCCACCCTCAGGCATGCATTCAGGATCACAGGGTTCCCTCATCTATCCTGATGGCGGGAGGGCAGAAAAGCCTGATATTTTTCCTTACCCTACAGATGGCTCCTGAATGAGCAGTCTTTGGTGAACCATTAGAGCTATGAGGCCACAGTTTGAAAACCTTCTCACTTTATGGATAAGGAAACAACCTCAGAGAGGTATAATGATTTGCTCAAAGTCACAGTTTCTATGTGACAAACCTGAAGCTCAAATCTTCCTGTACCCACTTAGTTCAGAGCCCTTTCTACTAATCATACTGCCCCTTGTCCAGATTGCAGGATTAGACGCTAGCTGGAGTACCATCTTCATTGCAATACCTTATCTGATCACCTCAGCCCCGCGGATGGCTATGTCCTGAATTCCACTAATTCTCTCTTCAGTTTTCACTCTTTTCTTTCCTCTCCAAGATTTAAAATTCCTGTAGGTTGGGGCCTCCCTGGTGGCGCAAGGGGTTAAAACGCAACCTGTGCTGCTGTCCACAGCCTCTGCAGCACAAGTTCGATCCCTGGCCAGCCAGGGAGCAGCCCACATGGCGCAGCAAACCTCTCCTGACTCGCCCGCTGCTCCCCTCAGCAGTGCATTTCAGTCAGTCTGCCTGTTCTGTTCCCCATTCTGTCTCTGGTGAATCCTCTCACAACCCCACACCTCTGGCCTATACCCCAGCTCTTGTATGCATAAATAAATAAATCTTTAAAAAAAATTAAATTCCTGTAGGTTGACCCTCTTCATCTATTTCTGAATATCCCAGAGAACACAGTAGGTACTTCTAGAACATTGCCCATAAATGTTGATTAAAACTGTGAGCAGCAAACCTTAATTATTTTCCAATAGCCTCTCTTCCATTATTCTTCTTATTAACATACACTCCCAGCCTAAAGTTTAACTGAACACATGGCTACCTACTAGAAATTCTCTTGCTCTGCCTCCCTGGCATTCAGGCATGGTCATGTGATGAAGTTTTAACTAATGAAATGTGAGTAGAAGTAACATGTGCAACTTCCAGATCATTTCTTTAAAAGAACACTGCTTGTCCTCTTCATCTTTCCCTTGGACTTGGGT